GCGGCGGTGCCAGGGCAGCGTTTTCCACTGCCCAGATAGACCGAATCACTGGCGCTATATCCGCTTTACTTGTTTGTAAATTTGCGGGAGAAAGCGGTTGCGGTGTTCTGTTTTTTTGATGATGTACTACTCTGACACAGTGAATGGGTGGCTCGTCAGAACAGTCGTTTGCAAAATAGGCTCTGCTCTTGCTCTTCTCGGCCCACCTCCATGATCCCTTTGCGCATCATCATCTAAGTATTTAGATGCGTCAGCCGACACAGGGCCCGGGATCACTAATCAAAGGGGTGCAAGCGAGAGCGTAAGGTGAATGAGAGGTGGGATGTGGCAAATCTTGGAAGCGGATGGGCAAGGGTGTGGGGCGTAGTTGGAGAAGGCCCAAATTTGATATACCCTTCTGGGCGTCAGGAATTGGAGGACCGTAATGCTAGTGGGTTTGTGTTTAACCCTTCAGGAAGGCGCCTTAGCTCTTTTAAGTCGGACATCCAGGAAGTGGCTCATGGTACTCCTAAGTTCGCAAATCAAGGGTGCGTCATGGAGTGCTTCCTAGCTTCATGTTCATGATCTCAAGCTACTCTTGGGTGAAATTTTTTATTCCTGCAACTCAATCATATATCACATCATACTCATTTATCTATGTAGTCCCTCGTGTGCTTCTTATCGATTCGATCATCGATGGGTCCCCCGCAATGCCTCAGCGTTGCAATGGACTACCGGCCCGGGGCGCCTTTCCTTAATTTAAAGTCGCCGTGGTGGTTTTCCACTGCTTAGATGGATCCCATCACCAGCGGTCTCACTATTCTTCAGCTCATTCAAACAATAGCCCAAGCTTCAGCTCTTTTGTATGGATATGTCGCCTCCGTCTGCAACGCCGACTCATCCTGTCAGGGTTTGCTCAATGAGCTCAGTGCAGTTGGTGGCGTCCTCACCACAGTTATGGCGATCGAGAGGGGCGACTCTCTTCCACCCAATCTCAGCCATGCACTTTCAACCCTGATGGCTACAGATGGGCCAGTCGCTAAATTACTGGTGGAACTGAAGAGCATTCTGCCAAACGAACAGGCCGGGAAAATGAAGACTATTTCCAGATTGACGTGGCCATTCAAAGAAAAGGAAGCAGGCGCAATCATCGATAGATTGAAAAACTACTGTGGCGAGATTACAAAAATTCTAGCAATTGACACATGGTGATCTTACTCGCTCGTGATGATCGCTAATACTAATGCTATCGCAAGGAACACGCTCAAGGAAGTCAAGCATGAAATCCAGCAAGTCAATTGGACACTCCAGGAACATTCTGCTGCACAAAAGGTGCGCGAACAAGGTCAGTCGCTGACTGTCAGTTTCCTCCTCGATCCGTTCAAACATGCACAGCCAAGGAACGTCGAGAGTTACTTGAGTGGATGAACCCTGTGTCTTGTGAAGAAAAACATGCCACCTCTCGTGGCCAGCGCAACCCCGGGACCGGTCGTTGGATTTTCCAAAACGATCAGTTTGTGGCTTGGAACAACTCGGATCGCGCATTCCTATGGTTGAATGGCCAGGGTTAGGTTTATCATTTGCCATTGCTTGCAGGTCGCTGATACTCGCAACAGCCGGTCATGGAAAGACTATCCTTACGTAAGTTTAGACTCCTCTGGAGAACTTTCAGAGCCTACATGGACTTGTGATTTTCAGCTCAGCCGTCGTAGACGAAATCCAAGGTAGCAATCAAGCAGAGCCACAGACGCTCGCCTTCTTCTATTGCAATTTCCGAGACGACAGGACGACAAACGCGGCTGCAGTATTGCGCTCCTTGGTTGTTCAGCTGCTCCAACAATCTAAAGACGACTGGATCGCAAAGATAGGCGAGCAGCAAGAATCGAACACAGAACGGGACCTTGATTCTCTGCGAAAGCTCTGGAAGCAACAACGCGATGGAAAGCCGCATCCCACAGATCTGGGGTTTCTAGTGAAGCTTCTTGTTGAAGCGTCTACGCTAGTTTGTCGACCAGTCCTCGTGATTGACGCCTTGGACGAATGCAGGGACTACCCCGAACTGGTCGGGCATCTTGTGAACCTTGCTGAAGACGCTCGATTACGACTTTTCGTTACCAGTAGAAGCGAGCCAGACATCCAAGACACCTTTTATGGTCTTCCCACCATGTTGCTGAAGGACAGCGCAGAACAGATGAAAGCAGATATATGTGCGCATATTACTGAGCAGCTTAACACTCGGAAGAAATTATCACGCCTACCCCACGAGCTGAAAAAGACAATTTTGGAGAAATTGTTAGAAAAAGCAGAAGGCATGTAAGTAAAGCAATTTCCACTCGCTTCTCGGGGAATCTATTGTATCATACGCAGGTTTCGCTGGGTTCAGTGTCAACTAGACGAAATCGTGGCTTGCAAAAGACGTATCGACATTGAGGCGGCCCTCGATAACCTTCCAGCTGGACTCTACGAGACGTATGATAGGATTATTCAGGCTATTAAACGCAGAGGACGAAGTGACTACCAAATCGCCCGGAGTTGTTTGCTTTGGCTAGCCGGCACGTTCACCCCGCTGACGCTTGATCAACTCAACGAAGCGATGATGATTAAAGTCGGACAATCAAATCTTAATCCGGACCTTGGTGTAATGGACCCCATGGATATCGTAGCCGCCTGCGGAAGCCTCGTCACTTACAACGAGCAAACTCAAGTCGTCACTCTATCTCATTATAGTGTCAAAGTACGATATATTAAACTCCGTCATCCTGCTCTTCTGCTGATATACTATGCAACCAGGAATATTTGATCAGTCGTCCTAATAACATCTTCAAATCAATCTCAGACATGCACGCACGGATCTGCGAGCTCTTGATCACGTATGTGTTATGCGACTTTGTGGATGAGATCTGCGCAAAACGTGCAATACTATCTTTCACGTACAATGAGCCGCGAAGCTGATATTTGGATAGGTGAACATCCAGCTATACGACCATATTTTTCGAGACATGGTGCTGATGTTGCCGATGTCAGCAAAGACCATCCGTTGCTAAGCTATGCAATTCTAGGATGGAAGCACCTTGGACATGTTTCGCATGAGGATCCGGACGTTATGCGCGCCCTGTCACGGCTGAACTTGGAGTTTCTTCGAGACAAAAAGAAACATCGTGTTCTTGCAATTCAACAGAGTAGATTTCGCTCCATTACTACTACTACCAATAGGTGGTTGAGTGCTGCCGTGACTTTACCCTCACTTCTATTCATCCCACTTGAGCACGGCAAGCCGTGGATGGTCGAATCTCTAGTCAAGCAACACCCCTATCTCCTGGACGTGGATGTCGCCCCTGGTTGGGGTTCTCCCTTCATGTTTGCCATTGCCAAGAGCCCTGACTGCCTCAGTATTTTCCTGAAGCCAGGCGACCACCTCAACAAGCTTTCTTCCATCAGCCCCTATTCATACGGAATTTGGATTAACGACGGCTCCTATGCTCCAATTTCGTGGGCAGCTGCGACTGGTAGCGAAGTCGCCGTGGATCTCTTGCTGTCACAAACAGGGGTCAACCTACCCAATGATATCCTGTATATGGCTGCTATGGCGAACAAACCATCACATGAATCTATACGCAAATTTCGCCTGCGCGGTGCGGATGCCAATTTCACAGTTGACGGACACACCCCTCTCCATCGTTTCCTCTCCAATCGGCCATTCGCTAGCAAACACCAATCGCTACACATCGTAAAAGCGCTCGTTGAACCATCTTGTAATCTTTCTTTGCAAAACCAGACTGCCCGAACAGTACTACACATTGCTCTTGATAAGCATATGGAAGATATTGTCGCATACCTTCTCGAGCAAAACGCTGGGCTGTCAGCAACGGCGACTCTGCTTCCAGACATGTGGAGCTGGGCTACAAACAAGACGTGGTTTCCCAAGGTCCAAGAAGCGGCTCTTGCTGCTGATCAACCATACACCAGAATCAAGGGAAATGTTGGTGCTACTGCGAAACCCGCAATCGTCGAGTTTTCAGTTGCAGCCACTGCCGGCCGCGATAATCCTAATCCGATTGGCGCTGTCGTTGTTTCAGCGATACTCCAGAGCGAGTTCGAGGGGTCAAACAGTGAGTAACCACTTCCACTCAGCCGTATAATTCACCGATTAGTGAAGTCATCGGCATGTACATTGATGCCAAGCTTTCATATTGTAATCAGTCACTTCAAAAGAAAGTCCAAGACTACCCGAAATATGATTCCCCCGGACTCAAGATAGAATTTCTATGGGAAAGTGGACAGCGTGTCTCTAGTCGCTTGTTCAACTATCATCAAGAAGACGAAGTTACCAGGATGTTACAGCAGTTAACCGAAGATGAAGATTCGACTGACACCTCCCTTTTTCTTGAGTTGGACGATCCACCTGGCCCGTTCAGCGAAATCCGTGTCTCTGAATTTGAGTACGTACTCGACATCTATAGAGGTCCTTTGCCTTATTCTTGACGTATGTGATAATTCTTCCCAAACATCCAGTGTCCTCATCTTTAACGGACAGGATACTATACCAGCGGTCATCAATCATATATGTGAAGGTCTATGCTAGTGTAGCTATACATCCGTCAGTTCATTGTTTGCCGCATTGTTTGAGCTTTTCATACACGATCGTAGTACGAGTACGGGGAGGTTATCAAACACCTTGTTTTGATCAGAGCAGTGAACCACTCTCAATAATGTTACCGATGTATAATACGATGATGAGACGAACATAAGCGAGTCTACGAGGTGTCAAGATGCTCGTAGACGTACACATAGCGATAACGAGAGAGACGAGGCTCAGTGCTCAGCTGGCGCTCAGCCTTTGAATCTTTGATTTGTAGCACTTTTTGATCGTACGTACATAGTTCTTCCAGAGTTCCTGGCGAAAGACAGCTAAATTTGGGCTCTAAGCCGGCGCGGTAATGGCCAAATCAGGAAAGGTTGGTATCGGGCCGAACTTCCGAAGGCCTTCGAGTCAATCAACTTTTGAACGACATTTTAGAATTGACCAGCTAGCCGCTGGCCAGCCTGGAGCCAGTGAATATGACCTTTGACTCACAAGAGTTTCGGCTCAGCATCGACTCGATGATGGCTATCCGCCATTCAAATTGCGCACTTTGGATGGCTGAAGCTTCAGGTTTGGATGTTGGCAGAGGTATGTACAGGGAACTGAACCACCGATCATTTCTAGGTCAATGATAGATGGAATAATGCTTGTTCGTTCATCGATACTGTCGAGATCGTTCCATTATTTCGTGGGACTGACGACCAGCCTCCGGCTTCACTTAGAAGTGCTATTTGTAGTTATAGCATCACTTGAATGTGACTCAGTGTGAGTCGCATATCTTTCGCTTATATATTACATTAATCAATGTACCAAGCCTTGTAGTAGTATCATACAGAACCTCTACAGGTTTCTTTCTTCCATTCATCACTTCCCGAAGGGTGCGATCGATCGACGATCATGTCCCAACAACAGCTGGACGAAGAGACGCCTTTGCTTCCCCTGCAGCGGAAGGCCAGGACACCATTGCCTTGGCGTCAATTCTCTATCATACTGTTTCTCCAGCTCGCAGAACCACTTACCTCACAAGTTATCGCCCCCTTCGCACCTCAGGTTTGTTTTTCCATGGGTGAATCAATTGATGAGTATTTGATGCTCACCGCGTACCAGTTAATAAGAGATATCGGCATTACAAATGGCGATGAAACCAGTGTAGGATACTATGTCGGACTGATGGTGAGTCTGACTTGCACCATGCTTATACCTCACCTTCAAGTATATGCAGTACTCCCTATTCTTTGCCACACAAGCGCTCACCGTTCTTCATTGGAATCGTATATCGGACCACATTGGACGGAAGCCTGTCATTTTGACAGGCCTGTTTGGACTATCTATCTCGATGTATTGTTTCGGTCTATCTACAACATTTTCTGGACTCGTACTAAGGTTCGATCATTTTGTTCTCCTGTGATAGTTCTAATCTATCTTGTTTCCAACACCCTCCAACACTCAGCCGTGCTCTTAACGGTGCTTTGAATGGCAACGTTGGCGTAATCAAAAGTATGATGGTGGACATTACCGACTCTACCAACTTGGCCCAGGCGTATGCATATATGCCTTTAGCTTGGTCAACGGGTGGGACCATTGGGTATGTACCTATGTGATGATCTATATCGTATCTGGAAATGATATAATCTTCGCAGCCCCCTTGTAGGTGGATTGTTATCACGTCCAGTTGAACAATTTCCGAACGTCTTCGGTCATTCTCAATTCTTGAAGACCTATCCATATTTCCTTGCATGCGCTGTACCTGCCACCTTCTCTGCACTGGCTTGGATCGTGACCTCCCTTTTCTTGCGAGAGGCGTGTTTTTTTGAACTAGCATCCAAGCATAAGAGTTGATGACATATGATTGACAGACTGTACCCACCAGGGTGACTCTTGGGCGTTTTCTCAGGAGCAAATACCACAAAGATACCATCCCTGGCCCCGTGACTCTAACAGGATCAAGTGATTCCCTGAGCACAGAAGATGCTGCTCGACCTGCAAACGGCGATGACTCCAAACTATTACCTCTTCGCTCGCTGTTGATTCCCAGAGTGATCATAGCTGCTGGAAACTACGCTGCTTTGTCGTTTCTTGATATCGCATTTCGTGACGTACAACCTCTGTTCTTCGCCACACCGATAGAGCTCGGTGGGCTGGGATTGGATCCTCCGCGAATCGGCAACATCCTAGCTATCTATGGTGTGATCAACGGCTTGTTCCAAATCCTTTTCTTCGCCGATCTGCATGACCGGTTCGGCTCAAAGATAATATATTCTGCGGCAATGGCTGCTGGAGTTCCAATGATTGTCATTTTCCCCATCCTCAATGCTGTCGCAAGAGTACAGGGTCTGAGTTTCACATTATGGGCGATTGTTGGCCTGCAACTTGCTTTCTCGATGATATTAAATCTTGCATATGGTCAGTTCCTACATCGTATCACTATTCCTTATGTTGACCACGACCTCTTTCAGCTTGCGTATTTATCTATATCGCGGCAGCGTCTCCGAACCAAGCGTCTTTTGGTGCAACGAATGGGATCGCTCAGCTGGGAGTATCGATCGTGCGAGCAATCGGCCCCGCATCCGCTACGTCCACGTTCTCGTTATCTATCAAGAATCCCCACCACGCATGGGTCATCTATTATTATATGATTGCCCTGGTCTGCATAGGGATCTTCGCATCACTGTTCCTTCCTCGGCAGTTATGGAAGAATCAAAACTAACGGCTCTTTCGTTGAGTAGATGCTACTAGAGTACGTGCATATATGGGAGAAGTTAAAGAAGGTAGACTGTTGACCTCCTCCATGGCACCTATGCCGCAAAAGAGACTAGCTGCACCGGGGGTTGGCCTAGAATTCTTGTAGACAGGATATATAATGTATATTGTGTACGTAAACCAAACACTGGCTTCCGTACTATCGAATGTATAAGGTGCAACGCTGAGTGCGATATATGAAAAGCGCGAGTGACCTCGCATCAAATAGTTGCATGCATGTTCCTCTCTGATCCCCCCTTGGAGCGCAGGAAATAGCAAACAAGTCGTTTCGACATCAGATGTTCTATAAAGAACTACCGGAAGCATTCGGACGAGCATACCTAGGCATTGAGAACCATTCGCATTAACACCGAGGCTACAATGAAGAAACAAAAGTGAGTCTATGGATTTAAATGACGATGCTCGTATATAGACAGTAAATTCGAAGAAATACAACAAAAATACACTGAAATGGAAAAACGTGATTCCAGCCATTAATCAGAGTGGTGTGATATGTACACAGATAGAGATAGAGATGAATGGACGAGAACAGAACGAATAGACAAGATAAGCAGAAAAGGAATAAACAGGAGCTGTACGGGAGACATTCATAAGGTTAGCTATATAGCTAATGACAAATTCCAGGAAGATACGATAGCGGAAAACAGAAGATACGATGGGTAACCTAGACGTACATATAGCGATGGCGAGGGAAAGCATTGGCAAGGAGCGACATCAAGGCGTAATGGGCATAACGAGCGTGTTAGTTACATGGGCGAAGACTGGGACCGGAAGCTGAGGAAAGAGCAGTGAAGGGGAGGGAAGGGGAGGGCGGATCACTCTTGATAACGCAGTTGAGGTTGCGCAGGGTATGAGCTCCAATACTGACCCTCGCTCCCCTCAGTCCACGTCTGCTCCATATATCCTTGTTGTCCCCCCGCGTACCTCTGTTGTGACGCGAGGTGCTGGTCTATTGACGATTTGACGCCATACACCGCTTGCTGCTCCCCAGGATACTCCTGTTGATATCCCTGCTGTTGAGGAGGCTGCTTCTCCTGCGATCCATAATACTCTCTCACAAGACCTGTTTCGGGGAACTGCGGGCCAAAACTGAAACGACTCGGCTGTTGCTGTTGCTGTTGTTGAGACGGAAGAGGGTGCTCGCTGTAGGATGCTTGGGATGCAGGAAATTGAGACGTTTGTATTTGTGTAGGAAAAGATGATTGCGGCTGTGGAGCAGCTCCTGAGTAATGGGGCAATTGGGATGGAGGAGCAAACGATGTCGGTGTGGAGGGAGGGCCACCGAATTGCACATATTGGGGGGTGTCCGGATATGAAAACGGTGAAGCGGAAGAGCTGGCATAGTCATAAGGTGTAAATTTTTGGGGAGGCTAGAATTGCGTTGAGCGGGTGAGCGGATGTAAAAAAGGATAAGAAACACACCTGAGGCTGAGGCTCGTAAGCAGCCCCAAACGGTAAGGAGAAATCAACCCCGCCTTCTTGTGACATAGAAGTAGGCGTAGAATGATAGGAAGATCGATCAATGGGCGTTGAGACGAGGGAAGACGGTTGGAGAGGAGCCACGGAAGGTGGCTGAGACATCACGGAGTGCTGGGATACAGACATTGATTGACTAGACGTTGGCATCGATTGACTAGACGCAGGTATCGACTGATCTGACATGGAGATCGGCTGGCTAGATGTCGGCATTGACTGACCTGATATTCCCTGTGTCGTTGTCGTTGTCGTTGTAGGTGTGCCAGCGCTTGCAGGCCGCACCCTGGCAAGCGGAGACGGCTCCTTTCCAGGACGCACGCGAAATCCAACGGACGGGTACGAGGTCTTCTTACGATCCTTGTCTTTCTCCCTTGAGCGGTCTTTGTCTTTGTCCCCCCGCTCTCGTTCACGTTGACCATCCTTGAGCAAATCTCGATCCTTTACACGATCCTTCCGAGGCGGAAACTTGGATGGAATGACAATCGCAGGGTATGTCCGTCTTGGTTCTGAGGCCGAACTGTCCTCCTTGTTGGCAACATTAGTGGTCGAGGTGTTCTCGGCAGCATTGGAATTGGAACCAACGTGAGATGGTGAACGTAGCTTGGGTTCCTGGGTAGAAACGACAGGGACGGGGATGAGAGGAACATTTTCCTCGTCATTACCACCCGCACTCGAACCACCAGGTACAGGAACAGCATCCCGTCCATCACCTTCATCCCACCCCTCTCTCTTCCTCTTTGACCCACTCCCAGCGCCTGAACCACCCGAGTCGAGTTTCCGTATGAGCGCCTCCAGAACACTCACATCCAACGCAGGACAGAGGTCCCGAAGGTCCCGAAGCAGCACAAGACCCATCTTAGCATCCTCCACAGCTGTGCGCGCCCACACAGCCGATGGGTCACGGAGAGCACTGGTAGCGCAAACAATAGAGGCATCAAACAACGCTTTCGAATATCCCATTTCAACTCCCCGGCTAAATCCTATCACAAGATCAGAAAACTGAAGTGAAGAAGGGAACGAAAAATAGTATACCTGAATGAACATCATAGACGAGGCCGCAACAAAGACTTAATCCAAGCCCGTCCTTCCTCCGTACCAAATCAGGCCGTGTACACGCAAGCTCAACAAAATCTCTCCCAGCTCTGATGACTCCATGTGCAGCTGTGAGCGCGCCTACGCGTGCTTGATGAATCTGCGGGCTAGTTTCACGTCTCACATTAGAGTGAGAGTCAGATTGGGATGACGGGGACGAATGGGGACGTAAGGACGGGAGGTACAACCCCATAGCCAGTCTATGCGTCGTCATCAATATGTCGAGACGCTGAGCAAGGAGTGTCGGCGGTGTGCCTCCATGACTTGCGTTGGATGACAGCGCCATGGAAGACTGAGGGGGCACGCATGATTCCTCGCCTATCCCCTCGTTCCCCATCCGGAATGCGGGTGGGAGATCTGATAGCCATTGCTTGATCTCGGCTTCGCATTGGGACGCGAGCTCGAGGGATAACAGGACTGAGGGTTGTTCGAGAGATGATAGTAAGGAAGTGCGGAAGTTAATGTCTTTTACGAGCTGCGCGAGTCTGTAGTGATAGAGAAAATCAGTGACGCACAAAAGGGGCGGCTAGGTATCACTGACCTTACTCTCATCCCAAACCACCTTCCCACGCCCTCTTTGCCGGTCGGGCTTAGGAGAGGTGCAGACGTACACGCGGACGTGAACACTTCCTCGTCGACATCAAGTGGTAGGCGGGTGCTGAACGCGTGCAGAGGAATGAGCGGAGCACGTGAAGATAGAGTGGAAGTATATCTGTGGAGAAACTAAATTAACGTGATTTAGATGACGCGAATCAGTAGCTCACGCATCCCACCACCAAATATCCCACCATGCCCGCCGACGCGCCTCGCTCTCATACAAGCCATACTTGCCAGGTGTGAGATCAGGGTCGACGCCGAGCCCCATAGTACGTGCGATGTTGACAAGTTTGCCGATCTGTGAGAGTAAGAGTCAGTTAAAATTTCTTTATGCATTCAGCCGGAGCTGAAGTACAGGAAAACTTGTGGGAATGCAGTAGGGGCGGTAAAGCCAAATGCAACAAGAACGAGGCAGAAATAGGACAGGAAGAGGACATAATTAAAAGACATGAACAGTAGAGTCGAAACGCAATAGAAGCGGTCGCACAAGAACAGTCAACACCCAGAAAAGGAATGATCGCGACGATCACGATGTGATGGGAAGGATCTACGGATCGTGGAGACCGGTTCCAGAGCAGAGAAGTAAAGTTGAAAGGCCCCGTGCGCAACTTCCATCAAGAAGTCACATGCCTGCTCCGATTCACCGCAGATCCCAGATGATTGGAAACAAGGGGAATATACCGCTCACCTCTCCTAGAATCCATCCCTCCTTTGTATTGCTCGTAGCACTTCCATTTCCATGTCTCCCCGTCGTACATCCTTTATCGCAAAGCACTACAAACAGCACGCCGAGCACAATCGCAGCTACATAATCCAAGTCGTACTCGCTCGCATGTGCACTATTTGAATTCGACCCTGAATTGGACAAGGCTACGCCACCCTCCCACACGCATAGTGCTTGTCGAGACAATGCATGAAGAAGCGCAGGAGAGGTAAGGTTTTCTTTCGGTGACGGATCTTTCCTTGACTTCTTTGGCCCTAGTGAGGTACCCATCCTATCGTTGTGTGTGGCCCTTTCAGATTCAGAAGGAGGTCCAGGATGAGTGGCGCCGGAGCTCTGCAGGGCGGCGCTAGCGCTAGCGGCGCTCTCTTCAACCAACAATGCCAATGCGAAAGCACCCGAAACGGATGCGAACAAGGGAAGGGATGGAGTAAGAGCTTTACTTGAAGTCTGGGAAAGAGCCTTATGCGAAGGCGGAGGCGAAGGTGGAGGAGCAGGCGGTGGACCGAAAAAAATAGTGCGGGCTGTGTCTGTTTTACTTGTGTCTGTGGGTGTACGAGAGGAAGAATTTGAGGTGTTCGGGATCGTCGACGAGGCACTCGAACGAGATGGCTCGTCTGAGGAGTCGTTTGTTACACATGATGTGCTCTCACACTCCCCATATCTCCATATGCCTTCTGCGCGCTCTTTCCAGACGCGCCAGCTGAAACAGGGCCCAGGGATCATCCTGAAGGCTTCTTCTGCATGTTCATATAGGCGGGTGCGGCGGCGTGGGGCGAATGGGAGATGGACAAGTAGGGATTTCATGAAAATGGGTGAAGAGGATGAGGACGGATGTGGGGCATAGTAGCAGGAGATTGGGGGCAGCAGGAGGGGGAGAGGAAGAGATGACGGGGGATTTGAAGCGGGTAATGGCAGGGTGGGATAAGATGCAGGTTCAGATTTAATATACCCATCCCGTGAGTCGGAACTAGACAATTGTACTGGTAGCGACTCTGGTATGTCAATCTCTTCCCACCAGATAGCTGTAATATCGTCTATAGAGGGCTCGTGTGGGTTATACGAATTCACGGTGTGGATAGGTAATTGGATGGTTGTAGACGATGAAGAAGAGGAAGGAAAACGGACACCTGGTGCTGATATTTGAGCGAGCTGCGATTCGACTGCTATGAGTCTGTTGTTGAGGGAGTGAAGGTCACTATTGGGATGGGGGAATCAAATTTGGCAAGAGAGGAAGGGAGGCATGAACGGACACTTTCTCAGCAGCAGCAGGGGAGTATATACATCTTGCGACCGTATCACGCTTGGTACAAGAACCGCATGGGGCTCGACGATCACATTTCAGTTTGAGACGTTTGCACTATTAGACGTGTGAGTGAGTTAACACAGCAATGAAAATTAGCACAAACCTCTGCGCAAACGACGGTCACGCGAGAGCGAACTTGTCTGTAAGGATATTAGAAAGAAGAAAAAAAGAAGTGTGGTGATTTAAGGGAAGACGAAGAAGGACTCACGGGCCAATTGCTTGGGCAAGGTGCTCACCGCTACTGCTCGGGTCCATCATAAGTAGACCTCCGAGTAGAATCGAAGTAGTCAGTAAAACGAGCTCGTCGCTGTCGTTCGTTCGTCGTCGTCGTCGTCGTTTGACTTGATAGGACACAAGGAACAAGCGCTAAAGAAAATAGTAAAGGTGACGAGAGTACCTCCACTACGGCGGTGCTCCAGGTCCGAGACCCCGTAAGACCTTCAAACGGGATAAACAAACACCCCTGTTCGGACGACTTACTACATCCAACTATAATTTCCGCTTCGGTGCCTACAGTTAAGTACTTGCGCTTTGTAACCTAGCTATAGGATCCATGCTGGCCACGTTGCCATCTCCTTCCACCGACCTTCGCAGCCTTCTTTGCACTCAGCGTCTATGTATCCTTCTCATGATCCGAGGTTTAATTAGAGTGGAGAATTAATTTTGGTGTATCACTGTCCATATTTTCTACACAAGATTTTCCAGCTCATTAAAAATCCGCAGCCTTTTTTCACATTCAAACCCTGTTCATTCTGCAAGGAGGTCGTGCAGAAATCGATAAAGTTAACAACCTAAGCGAAGTATTAAGAAGACTCGCAGCGAAAATCTTGCATATCCCTATCACCACGGTTTTAATGGTTATGACATCTATGTATATATACATGAAAGTACCTTGTGCCTTCCTGCGGACATGTATTACGCACGCCCATCCGTTGATTCCAAAGTATACATCCCGGCCAAATTTAAAAGCTTGACGGCAGCCTTTCTCATGTCGGCTCACATACTGAACTCACCCCTAATTCGTAGTCAAGGCTCGACGGTACTCGACCCTGGCAATTATATCGGCATCCAAATCGGTCGCTTCAAATTCTAGGCCATGTCGGATAGACCACTCTGGGCAAATGTGAACATTACAAGCTCAGGCCTGCGGGGTCGAGGTCTCGTGACGCTCTCTTCCTTCCTCGGGATCAGGCTCTCCCGGTTCGCAGAGGTCAGTGATACCCCAATACCCTTGCTATGCTTCTCACTTTTACCTAACATGTTCGCACCCACGATATAGTGTCTTTGATAGGTACGCGCGTCAAAGTTACACCATACGTCATAACGAGCAGAACTTAGCTGTTTACAACAATCTTGGCTCTGGCGGCATCTCTTAAAATAAGTGTGCTCATGTCAATAAATGCTACCGTAGTAATATGCCAACCGTCACGCGCCTATCATTTCTTGACAAGACGTTGACCGACAAGATATGAGTATAAGAGACTGGGTTACTCACATGATGATAACCGAGATGCAAATTTGTCCCAGACAACATCCGACAAAAACAGCTTGTTAATCGCATGAACGTGCAAATCCCTTCTCAAGACTGGATACGTTTCTCTATTCTTTCAATAAAGCAATCAAACACACGAGCCCCTGGGGCTCGGTGAGGATAGAAGGACTGAAAATTTGGAGTCCAGACCATAGGATAAACAAGTACTAGATTGAACTTGCCTCGTAACATCATGATACTCTGGATTGCTCAGAACACGCCGAAGATATTGTTTTGAATTTTCGTTACACAGTGACCAGTGTCACCATCAGAAATATTAATCTGCTGCAAAGCCTACAAAGCAGCGAAGGCGTCTGGTCTCTGCTGTCGAAAATCAGCAGAGAAAAAACAGACAATGATCTAAACATACATCAGTAGTGGCGACTCGGACAGCACCTACAACGAAGTCTCGAACACGGCCACAATGAATTGCAAAGTACCAACTCTGTACTCTGACCAAAGTACCGTTACGAAACAATCTCGCAATGTTTCGGCCTTTGGGTATGGTGTAATCAAACCAGAAAGCTATAGCTGTGTAATGGAGTTGCGTAACATGCTCTTAATCCAATTGGAATAGTACAACCACACACCTGATAGTACTAAATTGACCGCTTTGAAGAAGCAGACTAGCTTCAAGCGTTCACTAGCGAATAAATCGCACACGCATAGTAAGTGGGAATGTAATCGTGTGAACTTCGTAGGCTTAGCTGTTTTTCCTACCTCACCTTGGAGCTTGATTTTTCGAGAGCTTGTCTCTGGTACAACAACAATATGTAGATTAAGTATAAGGTTGGCCCGGATTGGCGCAATAACCAGTAACTCCTTGCGCACGAATGAACGACGATTTTGATTGGCTTGACTAATGTTCCATAATCTCTCACAACGGCGGGCCGGCACTCTGGAGTCTGGACTCCTGCACTGCACTAGCACAACACTGTACAGCAAGGACATACTTACCGCAACCTATGTTACAGACGAGTGTTCCCTCAGCCTCACTGGCACTGATATACACCGGCATCCTTCCACAGCTTCGACTCTCATTTCGCTGCCCAGGCCCCAGTTCATGAATATCGAACATAATTAGTACTGGACCGCCTGAGACCAAAACCTCGTTTTCAAGGTTTTGTTAACACATTCATAGGAGTACGTCGTTCCTCGAGGTAACTAACCCGCATGATTTCTAAACCACAGTACTAGCACTTCCGCAAACTTCCAGTTCATAATCTGTGACACGACTCACACGAGTCATCGTTAATGAGTCAAGATCATTGTTGGTATTTCCATCTCTGATCTCCTCCGTTGTTTCTGATCTCTTCAATAGTTTCAGGATCGTTTGAAGGAACTTGGGAGAAGCTGTCCCAAGTCGCCGTCAAAGGTGCTGAATATGACTCCCGCGAACGTCGGCCCCACCCAAAATGTTTACAGGGGACCCGAGTGGACCTTCTCAACTACATCCGCAGATTACTAGATGACCAAGAGAAGAGTCGGCTTATTTGGCTGCATGGCACGGCAGGCGTCGGAAAGTCCGCTGTTGCTTTCACTGTGGCCGAAACGATGAGAGATTTAAAAGTGACAGAGGAAACGCATGTCGAAAAGCGGCTCGCGGGAACTTTTTTTTTTTCACGAAAACACACGAAACGCTGCACCACTGGCTATTTCTTTGTGACACTCGTCTACCAGCTTGCCAGCAATTTTGCCAGCGTCCGGAATGATGTCAACAGAACTATCAGGGACAATCCTGCTCTTTTAGACCCTGACAAATCTCTTCGCGACCAGTTGGAGGCATTATTCATCCAACCTCTCCGAAGGCTTCAGCTGAGGTTGCGTGGGTGTCCACCTTTGGCATTTGTTGTCGACGCTCTTGATGAATGCACGTCTGAAACCGAGCTTGCTGATCTCATTCTTTACCTTGCACGGGCTCTTCGTGAACCTCATCTCCCTGTGGTCCACATTCTGCTTACGAGTCGTTCGGAATCGCATATCTGTAAAGCCTTTCAGGATGCCGAGGTGTACCCGCTGGTGCACGAGATACCCGTGAAAACTTCTGGGGAGGGCATTGCTGCCACCATCTCGTTAGATGGTGCAGATGTTGACAAGGACATCTATATTTTCTTGCATCATTCCTTCACGGAACTACAAAGTCGCCATCCTGATTTCCCCCAGCCATCAAGGGATGAGCTTGAGCGGCTGGCCAGCCGAGCGGGCAGACGTTTCATCGTGGCGTCTACGATGATGAAGTTTATTGATGATGGAGACAGTGATCCCCGCGATCGGCTTCAAGTCATGCTGGATCTGGCGAGTGAATTGCTACCAGGAACGGAGGTGTACGAGTTGTATGACCGTATCCTGTCTACATGCGCCGACCCTAAGCGGGCATACCAGCACTTGTCCATCGTCGCTGCCCTTGCAGATCCTCTACCAATTTCACAACTCTCAAAACTTCTTGGCCCTGGCCTAGGCAGGGACGTCGAGACAGCACTGGTGCAACTACGCTCTATCATGGATATCCCTACAGACGGCAGTCTCCCCGTGAATATCTATCACTCGTCCGTTCGTGACTATGTTTCCGACCCCTCAAACTGTAACCTTTCTCAAGTACACAACACCCTCTCACCCCACTCCATACTCGCTCGCTCCTCTTTCCGCTTGATGATGAAAGAGATTCCAGAACGCTCAGCCCTCTTGGATATGCTGTCAGACTTAAAGAAGCACAGCCGAACCATGAAGTCTCAAGATCCCCAAAGATTAAAAGAATCTTTATCCTTCCTCGTTCAGCCACCAGAGCCACTATCAGTGCTCATTGCTCTGCTATGGCTTCGAGGGGACCGTAGTCCAGATTTAGAATTCTGGCTAGGGACACAGGATGGGCGTGCCTGGCTGCAAACTCCGAGAGGGCCAACTTGGCTGTGTACCATGGGTGGGGAGAACTGGCTACAGACACAGGAGGGGCAGGACTGGCTACAAACTCAAGGGGGAAAGGACTGGCTGCAGATCTGGGCTGGGAAACGCTGGTTGTGGTCCTTAGGTGGAAGCATTTGGCTGCTGACCAAGGGTGGGAACGATTGGTTGCGGACTCGGCAGGGCAAGGCTTCGCTGCAAAGTCAGCTGGCGAAGGAATGGCTGAAAACCGTGTTGGGAACAGCTTGGCTAGAGAGTCAGGGCGGGAAAGACTGGCTGAAAAGCCAGAAGAGGGGAGACAAGGTGCAGAAAGGTGACCGTCCGCCGCATATAGGAGTAGACTGGGTGTCCTATAATGGTGACAGTTTGCCGGAGATCGGAGACAAGGTGCACATTATGGGGATACAACACATTTACGCGTCGACTCGGAATTATTATCGACGCAGCACGTTAATCTTGAAGCGGAACCCGCAGAATGACACGCAGTGGACGGATTGGCTGAAGACCCATAGTGGACTGGACTGGTTGCCAACCCAAGAGGGTGAAATCTGGTTGGAGAGTTTCGATGGCCGAAACTGGCTGCGCAATCAGGGTGGGAAGGACTGGTTGGGAACGATCGAGGGAAACTCATGGTTAGGGATGCAGGGCGGGAGACGCTGGCTGCAGAAGCTAAATGAAAAAGACTGGAAAGACTGGCTGCAGACTTCTGGTGCGCAAAACTGGCTTGAGACCCAAGATGGCCGAGACTGGCTGGAGACCAAGCGTGGGCGGGACTGGCTTGAAACGCAGAGCGGGCGAAACTGGCGGCAATATTGGATGCAGACTCTGAGTGGACGAGGCTGGCTGCAGACTAAGGGCGGGCGAGACTGGCTGCAGACCCAGAGCGGGCGAGACTGGTTGCAGACTCCTGATGGCGAAGCCTGGCAGGCGACTCCTGCGGCCTCTGTCTGGGTAACAATGGAAGAATTCTCGAGCACATTGGAAACAATCAGCGAGTATAAATTTATCCCAGAATCTTCATCGCTGCCAGCTTTCCAAGCAATTCAGCAGTTCAGGACCTTGCCAGATGTCTTGATGTTTCCGGCGTTCCTCGCGTTAAGACATCAGGATCATTCCAACTCTGCATTACCAGAATCTCATTTTTCACCAGACAGAAAGATCATTCATGCTATGAATGCCTTTATAACTTTCGCAAACGAAGCACAGGAACGAAGTCAATCAGTTTTGGAAGCTCTCAAATATGCATGTCAAAACTGGGCCCTTCATCTCTCCCGCGCTCCAAATCCATTGGATGAAAAGATCAGCCATATATACAAGGCTTTCTGGAATCGTTATCTCCACTCCTGGCTTGAAATGCAGTGGTGTTCGAAGGGTCTACAGTCTTGCCTCGTTGTTTTATCTACTGTGCAGACACTCGCAAAGGTGTGTATTTCAGCCTCACCAAACTTCTCAAACACCGATATTTCACTCTATGACTCGTGTTATATTTACAATCAACCTGAACTTGTCAATTCACAGCCGAATAAAACACTGCCTGTCATGGTTTCTGGCTCTGAAATGTCGACAGAGGAAACTTCAGCACTCGCTTCCACCTCCAACATGTGAATACGGCCGCCAACCTCACGGTGTACGCTTCCATTCTTCCTCTTGTCCCACCCTTATCACCGACCTACAACGCCGCTGTTTCAGATGCTGGCATATCTGCAAAACGGGAGTTAGATGAGCCTCGAATTAACAGCAATAATCCAAATGGATCCGGCGCCCTTACCCCATTAAAACGCCCGAAACGAGACTAGCAGGACTTACAGTTGGGATCTACTACAACAGATTTCCTTTTCTTTTACATAAGTTGTTCAATGGAAGTCCGGGAGAGAGGACAGTGGGGATTCATCAGTATACTAGTGCAAAGGATAGTGGCAATCGTTGATGATACAGGAGAATGCACAGCCACAGTACTTACAACTTGTCGAGTCGTCTTCTCCCAATTTCCTATTCGTGTAGTAGTGATGTTCTCAAATGAGCTCAAGATGTTCCGTCGACTAGGATTCCGACACGTCCGTCCCAGCGTTTTCGATCATTCTGCAGAGTACTGACTTGTCTTTCGTTTCATTTGTGCCGACGTGTCCTTGATGTGACCCCATATGCTTCTATATTCCCTGTCCCTTCAGTTTCTGCTCCAAATTCTCAACTTTGCCTCCGTCATTGCATCTGGCCTTATGCTATGGAAAGGTCTCGGCCTTATTCTGAACACAGAATCTCCAATTGTCGTTGTCCTCAGGTGTGTACGATCCTCGCTCAGTCAGGCATTCAACTTGAAACCTCCATTTCTCCCCACCCTAAACTGGGTCCTGTGTATTCATTTATCCTATATCTACAGTGGCTCAATGGAACTAGCGTTTTACCGTGGCGACCTTCTTTTCCTTACCAACCCTCCAGGCCAACGCTACCATACAGGCGATATCACAGTATACAGGATCCCTGGCGCCGAAATACCCATCGTGCACCGCGTCCTGGAGACCCGGGATGTCTTCATCCCATTTGACAATTATACGGAGAACCGCATCATCAACAACAGGTGAGTGTCTCCAGTGCGCCGTATGTGGTTCGTTGCAGGGGTTAGCAAGTCAAAGACATTCGATGACTAATTACAACCATACCCCAGACTAGCAAAGCTCAAACTCCCACCGGGGGAACATCAACTGATGCTCACGAAAGGCGACAACAATCATGTTGACGACATTGACCTTTACCAAGGCCTTGAATGGCTCGACCGAAGACATATCATTGGCAAAGTTCGCGGGTATGTGTCTTTCGCCTTATTCCCATCCGGTTTGAAGGCAAAGCTTGTGCAGTCTGAGTCCTGACACGTCTCTTTTACTGTTCAATATTCTAACTACACCTCCAATCCACTTATATCTTATCCCCAGGTTTCTTCCGTACATCGGCTACGTGACGATTGCTATGGTAAGCCTCTTTCACCGTCCTAGTTGAAAATACGCGTGCCACTTAGTAGTCTGTTTTTCATGCATATCTCGTTCATGCCCAATAACGCTGATCATGCCACGCAGAATGATTTCCCGCAACTTAAATATGCACTTCTCGGAGGCCTTGGGCTACTAGCTGTCATACAACAGGAGTAGATTGTTTGACAAATTTGCATAACCATGCATATGTGCATTAATTGGCAGTGCAGTTGAACCACGCGCATTTTCCCATCTGCCCACCATAACATTCGTCCCCGCCGCAATCCCGGTTCGATACAACCATTCCCTTGTGTTTCAAGCTACTAGCCCGCAACTGTATCTTTCGCGGACTACAACATGGCAACCACAAGCCCAGAGTGGCAAGCAGTTGATTATCCGTTCGTGCCAGAGATACTCGGATTCAACACAAAGCCCTCGTTACCTTGCTGAGAAGCGGTCAGCATACGCAATCCCACTTGTAAAGTCAAAGCGCGGACTTATCATAGCTGGCTCAATTCTCGCAGCTGCCATAGTACTCGTTGCTATCGTTGTCCCTATATATTTCGTCGTGATCAAGCCAAAATCATCGTCGTCGAATAATAGCTCTGGCTCTCCCAGCAGTCCCACCTCCACCTCGACCTCTTCATCCGGTCAACCTGCCTCCGATGTCGTCACTGGTGGCAATGGCAGCACCATCACGATGGAGGATGGTACTACATTCACGTACTTGAACCCTTTTGGTGGTACCTGGTATTGGGATCCTCAAGATCCATTCAACAACAATGCTCAGGCTCAGTCGTGGACCCTTCCCCTCAACCAGACCTTCAGGTTCGGCATTGATAAGATTTTTGGGTATGCTTTTCTCTGTCGTTCCATGTACCTGCAATGACCCATTGTTTTTTATAGCGTCAATTTGGGTGGTTGGCTTACTACGGAACCCGTGAGTTGGTCTCAGTTTGACTAATACACTGTACTAATGTTTCGTACTAATTTATGCAAGTCTATCTTTGCTGCTGAGAACCATGAACCTTACTTATATTTATCTTAGCGCACCCGCTCTTTACCAGAAATATCCTACAGCTATTGATGAGTGGACACTGAGCGAAGCTATGGCCGCTGATACATCACCAGGTGGCGGTTTGTCGCAACTGGAAACGCATTATCAAACGTTCATTGTAAGTTTTTCTGCACGTCGCAAGTAAAGGAACTGATGATGTTAATCGGTTACCAGACCGAACAAGATTTTGCCGAAATTGCTGGAGCAGGACTGAACTTCGTTCGCATTCCCCTTCCATACTGGGCGATCGAGGTACGATCAGGCGAACCATTCCTCCCCAAGACCTCGTGGACGTATGTCCGCTTCATCCTTCCAATCCCGTTACCCTGCTGAAGCAAGTTTTAGATATTTCTTAAAGGCCATTCAGTGGGCTCGTAAGTATGGTCTTCGCATTAACCTCGACTTCCATGCCCTTCCTGGAAGCCAGAATGGGTGGAATCACTCCGGCAAGTTCGGGTCAATAAACGTTCTCTACGGCCCAATGGGTATCGCAAATGCCCAGCGATCACTAGATTATATTCGGATCCTCGCCGAGTTCATATCTCAGCCTGAGTACCAGGATGTTGTTATCATTTTCGGCATTACAAACGAGCCTCAAGGAACCCCGATCGGCCAGGATGCTCTCTCTCGGTAGTAAGTGTATTAATGATTGTGGTCCACCGCACTCGGTAACGGTAACATAATTTGCACTGCAGCTATATGCAAGCATACGATAACGTCCGCGAGGCTTCGGGCATTGGGGCAGGCAATGGTCCCTTCATTTCCTATCACGACGGATTCCTCGGTCTTCCTCAATGGGCCGGCTGGCTCCCGAATGCTGATCGCATTGCTCTCGATGACCATCCTTATATCTGCTTTGACGGCCAGTCTTCTGCCCCTATGTCATCTTACGCTCAGACTCCATGCACTACCTGGGGTGGCATGATGAACACTTCCATGAACGCATTCGGGTTTACAGCTGCCGGAGAATTCAGTAATGCTGTTACTGACTGCGGTCTTTATCTGAACGGTGTGGGACTTGGAACACGTTATGAGGGTACATATACTCCAGGAACCTGGCCTGTCATAGGGAGCTGCACGCCATGGACAGACTGGCAGAGTTGGAACTCGACCATGAAATCAAGCATTGAGCAATTCGCCTTGGCCAGCATGGATGCTTTGCAGGTAAGCGATTGTCTTTAGAAGTTGTGGTTCCATATGAACTAATGTCCATAGAACTGGTTCTTCTGGACATGGAAAATCGGAAACTCTTCTACTTCTGGTGTCGTCGAGTCGCCGCAATGGTCGTACCAACTTGGTCTGTAGAATGGGTGGATGCCTGCAGACCCTCGCGTTGCATCAGGAACCTGCGCAAATCAAGGTATATGGAGTCCTCCTCTCCAAGCATGGCAAACGGGGGGTGCAGGTGCAGGCCAGATTGCTGCAGCCGTTACTTCATCGTACACCTGGCCGCCTGCTCAGATCAGTAATGCCGGTGCTGTCTCCTTGTTGCCTTCCTATACCCCCACGGGAACTGTGGCAACCCTTCCCCCTCCTACATTCACGTACTCTTCTGGTCATGCTGTCAAAACTGCCAGTGCTGGGGATGGCTGGGAGAATCCCTCCGACACTGCAAGTGGAATGGTTGGTATTGCATCGTGCAGCTATCTCAATCCATGGATTGGGACCGCCGCACCACCTTCACCCCTTTGTAGCAGTGGAGCTGCCGCTCGAGCGGTTCCTGCTCCACTCATCACCCCCGTCGCTCGTCATCAATCATAACGCTGCTCGTTAATTTTGGGATGGGACAACTTTTCTTCTTGTGAATTTGACTGGACTACTAATATTGGATTTTCCTGGGCTACTTGATCTGGAGGATGGTAAAACGATGGATTTCATCAGTTGACTTACTGAATAACCAACCCCCTTGTGTTATATTCAAACTGAACTTCAATTACTTATATCGTATCTTTCCTTTTGACAGTATTACTATCTTTCAATCCTACCCCATCGCAGATATTTTGGCGACGTACTTCCGTATGTCATGTCATTCTATTGATGGGGTGGGAATGAGCAGCTGCAGCCTGCTGCACGACATCCAAGACAACATCATGTACAAGTTGAATGCAATCGGTCTTATGAAGTTGCAGTCATTCTGAAAAGTAGCTCATCAAGCGGGGTTTCGCTAGCTCTGGGTTGACACGTGTTGCATCGACCAAAATAACAATGTGGAATCCCAAAAATCCCTCAACCCCTCGTTCGCCTGGTATCACCCTTCAGCACTCACAGTCTACCTCTCAGATGTTCGGTCTTCGTCCAAGTCTGGCGCACTGGCTAAGAGTGCTTGGAACACCTGAGGCACGGTTGATCGTGGTGAGTGTTAGGGATAATATAGTATTGTCGTGACGCGGTGCTCATTGCCATTGTGGTGTGATGTAGATGGCATAGAAAGGAAATAGGTAATGGTCATCATGGTTAGGCGTGTCAGGATAATACTGGCGCAAAGAGATGACTTTCTTACCTGGAACAATTGAAACATGATGGCAAGGCGCCGATAGCTGGACAGTTCGATGATGCTGGTTATCGGGGTTGGATAGTCACTTATAAAGAGTATTTGTAGTATTGGCGTTAGGTATAATATTGTGCATTCTCACTCTCTTCTCACTCTCGTCCTTCGAAACGGAAGCATTCCGAGGCCGAGGCACAGGAGAAGCCACATATGAACAAGCATCAACCGTCAACTCTAATATATCAATATTTGATCCCAGGAACATATAGTCTATCAATTGACTCTCTGAGACAACTCTGAGATATATAAGCATCGGAACATCTGAAAATCCCGAACAGTAGTTAAGATGTGACCGACAAACTGGCAAATTGAGAGGTATAATGAACAATTCACTCGGCTCGATAATTGCAAACTTGATAACCTTCTTCGACAGCGTCGGGTGCAATGACACATGATTGAGTCACCTCCGAACCTCGCACAACTTCCAGATAGGGTTGAGTTCTATGGCAGTACCTAAGTAGCACCGAATAATGCACTTGAGGTCACATTGATATGTTTGTCCCGTCCTGCCTTTTTTTATCACCTTCCCACTATCCCGCCACATGGACCAAAAAGCCTTCCTCGAAACCAATAGTCAGGTTTCACTTGCTATCAGAGAAGCCGGAGGAGGAGGAGAACAGGCCGCCTTAATAACAGGATACCACAGTTCCAATAGCTTCGTAAGAGCCTGCACAGTGGACCTTTGCGCTCCCGTAGCGAAAAATGTCGAAATGACCAGGAAAAAACATATTTTGAGTGTGTCAAAACTATTAAAAACTGGTATCAAAAACCCCTCGAGGGTGGGAGTGAGTTGAAAGCTCGTCGTTAACTCCGTAGGGTGTTTTTCCGAGTCACGGAGCCCTGATTGTGCCTACCAATTCCTCAACTCCCAAACGCGCAGCTGCATTCTGGTATGAGTTAGAAGTTCATACCCCCGGATGTCTTTGACATGCATACCAGGTTAACCGCCCTCCACTTATCTCAATGGATCCAGAGTCCGAGTCTAGAGCAGAGGGCGTTCATAAGTTCGGCTCGTGGGCACTAAACAACCTGCAGGAAGGAAGTCTTGGCCTGATCACATTCCGGGAGGCCTTGCAGGCCTTTCAACCTGTCCTGGCCACTGAGAGCGACAGTCAGTTGGACTTGGAGGCACTCCACTACACAGGTAGCAGATCTCAGCCTGGAGCAGGCCCTGAGGCAGCAGCCGGACTAAAGTCAGCTGATGATGCAGAACCTGGAGGTTTGAATATCGAAATGAATAGCGAGGAACATGACCTGAGGGAAAATGTGTGAGAGCTAGATCATACTAGATTTGTTGTCGAATTGACGCTGTGCATCCGCTCATCACAGCCTTGCGAAAGCCCCACTACGACTCTATGACTGCGAGAATGAGGTTTTGAAGGATCAACAGACATACCTTCAGGAGACAGGCCATACCATTCCACCTTACCTTGTGGTTTCGCAAGTGTGGGGAGAAATTAAACACCAGATGATCCTGCCCACTATCGAATGGCCCGTGGCTATTTCAGATCCCGCAAAGTGGGACACGATCCTGGCATACTGTAAGGCAGGTAAAAGGGTTAAATGGATGTGGATGGACGCCATCTGCATCAATCAAAGCAACAGCCCAGAGGCAGACGAAGAAAAGGCTGTCGAGATTCCAAAAATGAACCACTACTATCGCGGCGCAACAGCCTGCCTCGTGGTGCCCAGCAACTACTTGAATTTCCCGTTGGCACACGCACAACTTGTGGACCTCTCGTGCGATATCATGGATGTCAATGCCTCCGTGCAAGACAATGCACCGAGGATTTGGGAAAGTATCGCAGTGCTTGATGCTGTCATTGGAGATGAATGGTTCTGGAGAGTGTGGACGTACCAGGAGTTTTTGTTGCCAAACAAACATATCCTCCCTGATGGACAAGAACTGCGCGTCGATCTATTACGACGCTTACTGGACTGGTACCACAAGATATTGCGGAACGGCTCCCTGAAAAAACCACAAGGTGGAACCGATTACAACTTCATTCATCCAGGCAAGGAATTGGTCATTTCTGTCCCACGCAATTGGCAAACCCGAAACCTGCGTTTCCAGATGAAGGAGGAACTCGAGCAGAATGGACATGTGAACCTGATTAGCCTCATCTGGCAAATCAGTCACAGACAATCTATGTACCCCGTGGACCGCCTGTTGGGGCTCTATGGGTTGCTCAGCGACGAGGAGAAAGTGCCAATTAATCCATCTGGAGCCTCTGATCACAATTCGAGCACTGCAGCACTTGAATCTATGTGGGAACGCATGATGGCAAAAGCCATAATGTCAGGAAGAGTATGGCCATTGCTACACGACTCTCCAGAGCCCGATGCAGTAGATGGAAAACATTGGATGCCCCATATAACAGCCCCTAATCTTTGGAACGAACGGTTTCCCGGGGCTGCTCTCGCAGGGCTCCACCCGGAAACCCTACACCACCACAATCAGAAGGATATGAAGATAGCTGACGATGGATTACACATTGCGGTTCGGTTTGTAGGATGCGTAATGGGGATGAGTACTGACATTGGGGACGGGGGAGGAGAGATGAACAAAATCACCTTCTGTACCTGGTTTCTGACGGCCAATGGTTGCAACACAGATCCGATTATACAACAACTCCAGCATGGCCTGGCAACATCAGACATGGTCGCATCGAATGAGATTCAAGGTTCTCAAGAAGCACTTTTTGCCGCACTTCATGCGAGTTCCTTACACCACTATTCGAAACTCATGGGGGAGATGAACTTTGGGCGAAAGTTGACCTATGGTAATGAGATTATGGGGTGGAATAAGAGGGTTCTATGCTTCCAAATTGAAGGCCACAGGACGCCATTCGTCGTCTTGGCATGGATTCATTGTAGCAGCCCTCCGAAAATGGGAGATTGTTGGATCGTGGATGTCACCTCGGAACCAGCTCAGACGGTTCGTCGCTGGATTGTGGTGAATAAAGTGGGCCCAAAGACCTTTAGGAAGATTGGTACGGTACGCGCCTGGCAACCTATTGGTGCTATCTTAAATCAGAGTTCGATGCGTATCATCCTTGACTAGTAGTACATAGTAGTACCTACTAAGCTTGTGTTTTGTTTTGGTGTATGTACTAGTATGTAATAGTATCACAGCTGTCCGTTGTCTCACACCACCCCAGGCCCGGGTTCTCGAATGCAAATTGTGATGTTCACTCTGCCTGATACAATTCCGTATTCCCTACTACCCTCGAAGTTCCATACTTTCCCGACAAGAAGCCCTGTACACAATTTGGACATTGTCGTATCAGAAGACGAAATCTCGAACAGCCTTCCCATGGTCCTCAAATTTGTGCCTCAGAGTTGGTCTTTTGAATTCAGAAGCCATCGTTCTCCTGGAATTCACACCAGAAGAGACAAGAGGACACCTACAGTGCAGTCGCAGCGAGGCAACTCACCATCCCTGTGTGCAGCTTATCCCTCTGTCTCAGGTCAGGCGCTACGCGTGCTCGCCCGAAACTTCAGTCTTGTCATAGTATTTACCTCGGGCATTTGTCTAGTACATTGATGACTATCTCTTCCCTTGATCATGTCTGAGTGAACGTCATAAATGCCAACAAGACGGGACTGGACGTAGCTGAAGAAGAGAAAGGAAATCAACTGCATGCCTACGCAAGGGGAGTCGCGACCCAAGCGAAAACTTCTTGTCTCCCTTTCGCGATCTCACCCTTCTGACCCGAACTTGAATACGCAACTCGAAGACGCTCCGCGGCCAGTTCATCTAGTAACCCCAGGTTCTTCGGCGCACTAGTATTCGATGAAGACTTCAGGTTCGCATTCTGTGCTATCCGACGAGCACACTATTTTTTAAAAGAATTACATCGATATTCAGCAGCCCTTGCAAGAGAAAAAAACGCACGAGTTTCACGCCGAACCACGCTCGCACAGTGATCCCGAGAGGTGTGGATTCTTGCAAAAGCTGTTCTGAATCATCAGCATCGGTCATGTCTACGACGGTGAGGAACATCTTGATAGCGAGGGGAAAGTCTTCTGAGGTGTAGGCTGTTTCAGCGGCTTGGAGGACGTAGAAGGGGTTCTGGGGCGTTAGGAGCAGAACATGTGAGAGCGCCTGGAAGGAGTGATCATATCTGTACGAGCAAACAAAATGAATAGGACGTGTGATAGTATTATAGAATGAAGACGCACTGGTTACACGACGCATAGATGTCTGCGAGTTCTAGCCACCCTTCAACGTCCGTATAGAAAGTATCCACAAATTGCACGAGTTCGTTCAGGGCCTTTTCTACCTTTCCTGTTCTCCTCAGGACTGATATTCGTCGCTTCCAGATTGCCTATAGTGAGAGTAAGCACACGAAAGACACGTATATGAAAGCACGCACGACATTGGCGGAGTCGGCTTCAAGTATGTCGGCGTAGTATTTAAGGGCTGTTTCTGGAGGCTCTGTAGCTTCCATTCGGATACCTATGAGACAGTCGACGCGTGGGGAGTTGGGGAAATTGTCGGCAATGAGCTGGAGGCATTGCTATATAGAAATGGGGTTGAACTTAGGGTGAGGTAAGTACTTAGAACAGCAGAAAAGGACACACATCTGCTATATCGAGTCGTCCGACGTCTATTGAGGCTAATGCCAATTGTTCTAGGGATATCCAGGCTGCAGGAACACCAGAATGACTTGAGTTCAAATAACAGGCGTGGATGACTACGGAATGGCTTGCCGTCGTCTCCCAACTTTTTGAAACCGCTTTTCTGAAGCACTAGAAGTCCATTTCGGAATATATCTTGCGAAGCGCGCGTGTTGTTGGCACGGTACGTAGCTAATCGTTCCAAGGCCGACTGTAAACTCATGAGTATAGGAAAGACCGGTGTATTACGTAAATTCTAGAATCGGAGTCAGTAACGATCGATTCATCCTTTTATACTGTACTTTCAGGCTCAAGTGATCACCATGGCGGACCGGCTTGCATCTCGCAAAGCTTGTGGTCTTTCCGCATTGTTCAACGACATTAAGCACCGATCAACACGCACACTTTCAGTGACACGGTCGCTCCCCATGCAGGCCCACCATTTGAAATCGATGTCATTCCCCGGGTCAAGCTGAGAGCGACAATGACAGATGGGTGTATAGATTAGGGTTCGTTTTCTATGTGTAATATCAAGGCCCATTCCACAATCTGATGCACCGATGTTGCGAAGCTGACAGCGACTCGGATGATGACGGATGCATGTATCATTTGCAGTTGCACCATTTGTCATTGACTCGTTGATATCCACTAGGTTACGCTATATTTGTTACTGTTCACTATACTGGCATATCCGTTGAGAAACAGTGCCAGTGAAGATCAGGGTGCCTGCCATGGCTGCTGATATCGGACATTAAATTTAACAGCGTTTCACAAGTTACAGTTGCAGTCCATGAGCAAGTGTGCACTGAGGTGGGCTCATGAAATGTCGCCAAGGCAAGAGGCTGTTGGCGTCTACCTACCCCAACCATTAGTATGCTGCGCTCGTGGATGTAGCACGTGGCACTTGCAAGAATATTCCAGTAGCCGCAAGGGTACACAAGGCATGTTTATATATGTTCGAGTTCCTGCATTAATGCTAAATCTTATTGTATAGGTCGCTGACCGGAGCAACGGTATTCATGTGTCTTGCAGGACTCTTTCCAACTTGAAGTCACAGCAGCTCCTCCATCATCTGAAGAGGAAGCTGTCAAGGATTAGCCAACTCTTGAATTCGGCTTTCACGCATTGAGGAAGACATCAAAACCAAGATATTCGACGGCTTGCTGTCATCATACAAGCGCAAGGATGACCCCATCACTACCATCGGCGCTTTTTCGCTGCCCAGAGATGGGACAATGATTGAAAGTACTGACTGCACGAATCTTGCAGGAAATCTCGACTGTGTCAGTCACTCAAGGTTCGCAGGGACTTCTTGAAGACGAACAAGTGCTGCCACAGCGTCGGCAGCTTCAAGTTCAAGCGCCAACCACAGAATTTGCAACCAGAACTTCCTGAAACCTCCAGTTCCTCCCAGCCTGGGTACGCGCCACTACCACATTTCATACATCCGTCGTCTCACACCGGTTTCAATATTTCCACCATGTTTTTTTTTCGCTCAACCCTCACTCGGTGAGTCACGGACTTTACAATCTATCTATGCAACAAGTACCTGCTGACGCGTCCATAAACGCTCCCTCAGCAATATTTTATATAGCATTAATGATTTGCATTTAGCCCTATATAATTATCCATGAATACCAGACTTGCTGTCACCTTGCTTGCAAGGTCATATGCCAACCCGTTGATTCTGCGAATCGTCCACAATTACAAACAACGGCATTTTCCGCATTCGTAGTCCTCGCTCATACATTTGCTACGATTAATATTGTGACCAGTCTCTGTCCTTCCAAAATACCGTTTCAAGTGTGCTCGTTATTAAAAACGAAAGCAAGGTCATCGCTGGCGACGGCGCCTAGTGATTAATTGCTGTTGAAGTTCTGCAAGAGATCACGTGATTGTGATTGCGTGTCCTGTACAGTAATTTTGTGACCCAACGAGTCTTTTTTACTTCTGCAGGTCAACGTGAAGCAGGGGGATGTATTGACGGTTGTTGGTAGAAGCCAAAAATTCTCCACGGCTGAAGGTTACTCCACGCTTGACCCAATTTTCCGAAGAATGCATCGCTTGTAATGATCAAGCGGACTCCGGGCTCTTCTTCCTCATGTTTACCCCTGACTGAGTGGCCTTGTCCATAATCCAACACGTGGCGACACCAGGTGGGAGGGCGTGGTGATGTTTAAGACCGATAACCAGATCATCCTCAAGCTGGTTAATCTTTGTTCCAGAGAAAGCTGAAATAGTGAGTGCATCATCGAGATCCTTGTGTTGTAGGCTGGCCGTGCCTTCAGTCTAACCATTCTGAAGGTCACCGGACCGTATTTGTCCTCAAACAACCAGCCGCAAGGTCGGAGAATGATCGGTGACTCTATCAGCGTTTGCAGACTCTGATTCGGCTCTTGGAGTGACCCACCCCCACCACGAGGCTGTCACCGCAGTGATGCATCTCAATTGGTTGTCAAATAACAGACAGAGGGCGAGGTAATATAAGAGGATGGACACGCATGGCTTATCAGACACAATCTACGTCGATTAAGATGTTGCACGCCTGTCCAGCCCAACACCACATTATTTGGATCCTGAACGCTCTCACTAAGAGTGCCAACTGTGCCGCTGGCATCATCGCAGTTGTAGTGGCACTCGTCGTTTTATACAAGAAATTCTCGTTAGCAAGGAAGGGCATCCCGCTTCCACCTGGGCCTCCCGCCCGTTGGTTCTGGAATAATGCTTTGCCTGCTGTAAAGTGAGTTTTGGCAGTGTTATACAAAATATTGTAGATTGACGTAGATCATCTACTCAGCATTGCCTATGCCCTGACCAACTTTGTCCGAGAGTATGGGCCGGTTGTGTCGTTCCGACAAGGTAGCCAAGTCATCATCGTCATCGGTGGCGTGGAGGTAATCTGATTATCTGCCCAAACTTTGAGCTTCATCCGACAATAACCTATCTACCAGGCAGTTGTAGACATAATGGAGAAAGAAGGTGGATCACTGGTAGACCGACCTCGGTCCGTTGCAGCGAGTGAGATGCTCTCACATGAAATGCGTATCACCCTAGCTCGTTCCGGAGAACGCTTCCGGCGCCTCCGAAAAGCAGTACACCCTCATTTACAACCAAAGGCGGCACAAGAATACCAAGATATGCAGCGCAAGAATGCGATGAACTTTATATTGGATGTGCTGAATGACCCGACGAACCATCAGAAGCATGCAAAGCGGTACGTCACTCCCAAGGTCTTTTGTGATCCTTTCATAGATATGGTATCTTAAGGTATGCAGCATCAGTCATTCTTCAGGTGACTTATGGGAAATCTACTCCCACTGCCAACGCCGATCTCGAAGTTGTTCGTATCCACAAAGTTGTTGAACACTTTCATGCCACGATTCTCCCAGGAGCTTATCTGGTCGATCGCGTGCCCCTTTTGCGACACTTGCCTGGTTACGGCAAACAACTTGATGAGTGGCATCATGAGGAGCTTGAGCTATTTAGGCATCAACTAAGGCGCGTCAAGAGTGAAGTGGTAAAGGGTTTTTTGTTTTGGTAAATGTATGTGACTTACATCTTGTTGTACGCAGGATCGGAATGAAGCTGGCCCCTCCTTCACCAAGACACTATTGGAAAACACCGAAGAACATAAACTCTCTATAGATGAGATGTCGTATCTTGCTGGATCACTCTTTGGGGCGGGATCTGATACAGTAAGCCAGGCAACTTATTTATCTTCGCGAACTCACTTTCTGTTCAGACCGCTGTTGGAATTACCGCTACTGTTATGGCTGCAGCATGTCATCCACTGGCTCAGGCAAAGGTGCATGAAGAGCTAGACACAGTGATCGGGTCAGACAGAGGTAATACCAAATCAAAGGGGTACAAAGATTTTGATTTCTCAATTAATTTCTCATATAGCGCCGACCTTCAATGACTTGAGCTCCCTTCCTCAATTGCACGCATTCTTGTTGGAAACTTTGAGGTGGAGACCTATCGTCCGCATAGGTAAATTCGAATTTTGGCACGCTCTAAACGATACTGATATGTGCTCAGGATTTCCCCACCGTGCAACCAAGGATATTTTGTGGGTCAGTGTCTTAATTTGTTGTAACCCACGTTCTCATTCTAGCCTGCCTGCAATCAGCGAGGATACTGCATTCCCAAGGGTGCAACAGTCTACGGCTGCCATTGGTATGGCGTCGCTTCACGGTATACATTGGTTCATTAAGCACGTCTTTTCAGGACTCTTTCTCGCGATCCTACCGTCTTCCCAGATCCCGAAACATTTAATCCTCAGCGCTGGCTTGATTCAGAAGGTCGCCTTAATGACGATCATACGAAATTCATCACATTTGGCTTTGGTAGACGGTTAGTCGTTCCGACGTCGATTTTCAGACCGATCAACGAAGTTCACTTATCATTAAAAGTGTATGTCCCGGCCTGCACCTCGCGAATCAATCGTTGTACATTACCCTCGCACTTCTTTTGTGGTCTTTCCGCATTGTTCAACGACCTGATGCACCCATCAACACGCACGCTTTCAATGATGCGGTCATTTCTCATGCAGCACCATTTGAAATCGATGTCATTCCCCGGGTAGAGGTTGCGAAGCTGAGAGCGATGATGACGGATGGGTGTTTTGATTAGAGTTTTTTTTTCACTATGCGTAATATCAATACTCTTAACAAAGAATTGTTCGATGACCTGACGCACCGAACAACACGCATGCTTTCAGTGATATCGTCGGGTCGAGGTTGCGAAGCTGAAAGCGATGATGCATCGATGAGTCATACATTCGCGATGGGTGGATGTATCCTGCCAGTACACATCATGTAATGCGACGCCACAGACGTGAATCATTAGCAGAGGAATGAAAGTGAGAAGGCAGTAGTACCTGTGCCTACCTAAGTGAAATTTCGAACGGCGTCCCACAGGTTCATGAAATGCTTTTGAGAGGTTTCAGTAACCAATCAAGTGGCGAATAAAACTTCAACCAAAACAATTATGGACTGAGTAAGTACTAGCAGCATAGCCGCAGTCCCCGCATATCGCAAGACACATTCGCGGAGGCGTGCACAAAATGTGTTCCAACTGCTCCGCGCTGCTATCCGTGCCCGACCACTGTTTCCTGCTGTCTGATATCATTCATTTCAGTTGGGTCCAAAAGCCCCGATGGCATCTTAATCGAACTCAGAATTTGGGTCAAAGCAATAGTGCTGGGACTTGCCTTCTTAAACAGCTCATCTGTGCGT